AAACGCCGCCCTGCCCCCGCCCGCCCCCGAGGGGCTGGCGGGGGTGTGTCCTGTCCCCCCCCCCGCCTCTCCAGGTCAACATGTCACAACACGACCTCTGCCTGTCAAGTCACATGACCCCTGCCTGTCACTGACAACCTGGTCCGTCTCGAGGCCAGGAGAGACCATCTGGTTCAACCCACCCCCACCCCGGCCAACAGAAGGGGAGACGAGGGTCTGCAGCAAAGGAGCAGTCTGGCTGGCCAAGGACCTGTCACTGTCGCACCTTCCAATAGCAACCGGTCCTGGTGCAGTTTCTGCTCAGAGATACTCTGGCTTGCCTCTCTTGAGTGCATGACAGACTGTGTGTGCTAGGCCACCACATGGCCTCTGTTTTCATGGCACAAAAAAATACGTTTCGCAAGGTGTTTTTTACTTTAGTTCAAGTTGCCCCCCTCACAGTGGTCTTTCCTTCCAAATCTCGTTCTTTCATTTACAAATTAAGGTAGAATCTGTGTTCCCTCCGGTAACGCAGTCCAGGGCAGGCATACGCTCAACTGCATGCACGTCCCAGTCCTTACTGTAGGTCATGACCCCAGACTCCTACAGGCCCGCTGCTCAGCAGGGAGTCACAGGACTTGCGGTCAGGGAGAAGAGAAAGGGTGGGCGCCGAGCAGGGGTGCGATAAGTAGGGGGTGGGACTCGGGTGCACGCTACAAAGAACAGGAATTCTGGCGTGCAGTGGGCGACTCAGAAACAAACGCCAAAGGTGCTCCCCCGAGACAAGCGGGTGGACTACCATGGAAATGCCAGGACCTCAGCCTCTGGGAAGCGTTAGGAGGTTAAAAGAGATGAGATCCCTTCTAAAGGGCTGGAGAAGATGTCAGTCCAGGTAGGACTAATGGAAACTTTATCGCGGTTCCAGGGCCTCGGCGCGCATGAGCTGGGAGGGGCCGGGAAGCTGGGAGTCTGGATGGAGGAGCAAGTTGGAGGTGATGGGAGGTGGGTGGGCAGAGCCGCAGCTCCTGGGCAGACAAGTTCAGGAAGGACAGCCGTTGGG